TTTGAAATGTTCTTCAATAACAAGACTTAAAGTCAGAATTATCCCTTGATTCATAAACTGCAGATTGGCTTTTGTGTTGGTAGGTTTTCTGTACATCTCCATAAGAGAGCTCTTAAATAACTGTTGCATTGTTGGAAATGAGCAAAAATATTTTGAAAGACATTTTTTTTCTGAACAGTGGGTTTCAATAGTGGACATAATATATTCTGTAAAGCATGTTGTAAGCAGAAGTGCTGTCATCAAGCCTTTGTTGCCGCATTTATACATCATAGGAGGAGTAGATTTTGCATAATTCTCAAGAGCCCTAGTAATAATTTAGCATTGACTTTAATTTAAAGTCAACGTCTGTATTAACCACTAACAGAGAGTCAAATTGTGAAGTCAAATTGTGTATGAAGACAATTTGAAGTCAAGCATTCACTTCTCTCTGGCCATGAACGTTCTAGAAGACATGTTCATCCAATATAAGACTATTTTGTCTACACTGATAACCCGTTGTCCAGTATAACCACCTTCATCAATGATCTTAGTCCTATATAACTTGCTGTTGCTTCGTCATAAGCACTTGCTTCTTCACTTTGCACTTCATGTTGTGGAGATGGCTTCTTTTCTAAAGCTTCGAAGTTTTCAAATTCCTCACTTCTCACAACCTTCATAGAATTCAAGAGTTATGGCTTTGGTTACCTTTGGCTTCCTTAAGCCAATGTTGCCACTAATTTGATCTATCCAGACCATGAAAAAATTTAATAAGACTGTTTCACTTTCTTATTATTCATACATTCACTGGAATAACATTTAGCTTCAAGATTTTTTTTTTTTTTTGCATTTACCATTTAGCTAACTGATTGACAAATCTCAAGCATAGTCATGTTGATTTCTACAAATGCTCATTTTGGCAAATCTTTTGAAGTGATGGGTGATTTCTTATCTTCTTCCAGATGTCATGCATATATTCATTGGTCAAATCACCCAAGCCCAAGCAAATTTCTTGATGCAGTCATGAATATTGCAATCCTTCAGAATTGTGCCACTGTCTTCCTCAGTTGCAGCAATAGCCTGAACAATAGACTCCTTCTCAGGCATAGGTTTTAAAAACTGCTATAACTCCTTGACCTATTGGTTTGATCAGAAAAGTAGTGTTGGAAGGAAAAATTGTCACTTTGATATCAGGATGAATATCACCAATAAAAAAAAAGGATATTCCAGAGCATTATCAACAATAACCAAATTCTTTAATGCATGCTAGTCATTAGAGAGTACTTCTTCATTTCTTTGGCATAGCAACACAGGGGGGCAATTTGTAACAGGAACTGGATCATCTATGACTTCTCATTGTTTAGACTACAGGAAATATGTATTTATTTCATATGCTTGGAAGCCTTGGGCTTCTTACTGTGCCAGATTACACAGTTGTTTTTTTTTTTTTTATTTTTTTTAAAGATTTATTTATTTTATACAAGAACTGGGGTACAGGCCAGATGCATGGGAGGGTGAGAGGATTCACCAGAGACAGAGCAGGGAACAGAACAGGCAGACTGATGAAATACACTACTGAGGGGAGCAGAAGGCGTGACAGGAGAGGTCTGCTGTTCCATGTGGGACCCTCGCCAGCTGGCCGGCCAGGATCAAACTGGTGCTGCAGAGGATGCAGACAGATACACAGTGCAGTGCTCCACAGCCTGTGCCACCAGGGGAGGCCCCAGATTACAAAGAGTTTTAATTTGTATCTCCAAGCAAGAATGCATCATGTCGTTTAAAGCCTTGAAATCTGAGATTGATTTAGTCATCTATTTCCAGAACCCAAAAGTTTCATCAATATTGAATATTTGCTCTGGCAAGTAATTTTTCTCCATAGTCATTTTATCTAGGCTTTCCAAAAACTTTTCAGCTGCTTTACATCAACACTTGCAGACTCATCACTCTCTTTAACAATTTGTAGTGAATAATAATTTTTGAATCATTTAAACCACCCAGAGCTATCAGTAAATTCAACAGAGCTGGGTCCAGCTTTTACTTTCAACATTACAAACCAATTTTTGCTGTGATAATAACTGACATTTATTATTTGTGATAATAATTGTGTTAAAGGGAATACTTCTGTGACTGATCTTCCATTCAGGTCATCAGAAGTTTCTTCATATCTTATCGAGGCCCTTCTCAAATTTTTGTTTGTTTTGTTACTTTCAGGGAAGCCAATCCTTCATATTTTCCATCATTTTGTTCTTGTTCAAGATCATAACTATGACGCCGGTGTAAAACTCTAGGACAACAGGCAGTAGGAATTGTGGGGCCACTGTCATATTTAAGAGGCCCTTTGTTAACCAAGACAGCATTATGCAGGACAGGGTTCTAGGAACATCAAAGATCACTGATCACTGACAGCCATAACAGATGAAATAATGAAAGATTTGGAGATACTGAGAGATTACTAAGATGTGACACAGGGTAGATTTACAAATGCCATTAACCTTCAGTTATAAAAGGTGCAATATCTGTGAAGTGCAATGAAGTGAAGTTCAATAAAACAAGTGATGCCTGTGGGTATCCTTTCATGGCTTGCAAAATAATTCTTTTGCATTCAAGTAAAATGTCTTACTATTGTTTGATGCGATTTGTGTCTAATAAGATATTTTCTGTCTTACTACCTTAAAATAGAAAATTATAAACAACTTCCTTTTGAAAAAAAAATCTGACATGTTATCTTATATCATCACATATGTTGAGGAAGCAAAGAATAGATAGAGGCAGAGAAAGACGGAGGAAGAATGAATGGAAAAACACATTATGTTTGTAGTTCTTAAAGCAACAAATTATTTGTCCTATTTTTTTTTAATCACTATAGAGAGCTGTGTGGAGATTTCTTGACCTACTAAACATAGAGCTTCCATATGATCCAGCAATTCCACTCCTAGGTATTTACCCAAAGGACACAGAAACATCAAATCCAAAGAGCACCTGCACCCCTGTGTTTATAGCAGCACTATTTACAATAGCTAATATTTGGAAACAACCCAAATGCCCAAAAATAGATGACTGGATCAAGAAGATGTGGTACATATACACCATGGAATATTACTCAGCATTCAAAAAAGATAAACACATGCAATTTGCAGCAACATGGATGGAGCTGGGAGGGCTCATGCTCAGCGAAATAAGCCAGAAAGAAAAAGAAAAATACCGGATGGTCTCACTCATAGCACGAATCTAGAAAACTTAAATAAGGGACCAGGAAAAAGAATAACTATAAGAAATAAAATATCAAAATCAACAAACAACTGTGAACCAGAGACACTCTATGGGGTTGGGGGTGGGGAAAGGAGGGCTTGGGGTCAAAATAAGGGGGTTGTAATTGTATGGGGAATATAAAAATAAAATTTAAATAATAATAATAAAAAATTCATAGTCCTGTTAGTTATCAGAAGAAGTCAAAATTAGTCACTGCTTTACCTTAATCAAATTATTTATATAAATTATATAAGACTATACAAATAAATATGAAAATATGGGTGAAAAATATATAATCCTGATCTAAATTAACTAGTGACATGTAGAGCCAGGTTGGAGATTAATATGTCAAAATTTTTATAAAATTAAACATATCTGGGGCCTCCCCAGTGGCGCAGCGGTTGAGTGCTGGGTTGCGAAGCTGCCTGCAGCCTCTGCAGCGCCGGTTCGATCCCCGGCTGCTCCCCGGCCACCGGAGGAGGGTCCCACATGGCGAGCAGACCTCTCCTGCCGCCCGCTGCTCCCTTCAGCAGTGTACTTCAGTCCTTTTGCCTGCTCTGCTCCCCACTCTGGCTCTGGTGAATTCGCTCACCCTCCTGCGCTTCTGACTGTACCCAGTGCTTGTATAATTAAATAAATGAATGGATAAATAAATAAATCTTTTTAAAAAAATAAATAAAATTAAACATACCTGTATATATGTCAAAAAACAATATCTGTCCTTTTAAACTGATAACTGTGCTCTTTTATATATATTAATACTCTAGTGCTCATTTAACTTGCTAGTTACTAGAAATCAATATCCTGGTAAATAGAAGTTAAATTTTCAAAAAAAAACTAAGTTAGTGAACACAATCTAATAGCCACAGAAATCTTGACAAACAAACAAACAAACAAGGAACATGTACTGTTCTCTGTTGATGATATAAAATAATTGCCTTTAGCTGCTATTTTGGAATCTCACTTCACAGTTGTTTAAGTAAATTTTGTTGTTTCTGAATTTGAAATAATAAGCTGCCTTTAATAGATGTTGAATATGTGATCAGGCTATTGCTTCTAAGCGTATATTTGACATGTACACCAAATATATTATGGATGATCATGTCACTTATTCTATACAAATGGGTGACAATTGTAACATTTGTCATGTATACTGGTTCAAAATGAAAGAGCCACATTAGAAAGACCGAAGAAGACAAATAGTTGTGGAGATTATCCCACTAGCTCTAGAAAAGTAAAAACAATATCTACAAATGTATGTGTTTATTTTTAAACAAATTATTCACTTCCTTCAAAAGGGCAAAATTGGTAAACACAATTAAATATGTAAAGTATACTTGCCACAGCTATACTTATTTATAATGGTTTATTTGTTTTCTGTTTGATATTTTGAACTCCTCTAAAACAGAGCTCTAGTCTTCATATTATTCACAGCAAATATGCTCCTGACACATTAGATTTCCTTTATTTAAATTTGAAATATAATTCTCAATATATGCAACAAATTAGTTTACCTCTGTTTTCTAAATATATTAAATCTCCTTTTCATTTCACATGAAGTCAGGTATATAATGTACAAGTGATACAGCATTTGAAGATGAATGATAAACAGAAGCAATGACTATAGATTGACAATAAGAGGTGTTCTTTAAGTATTTTTCTTAATCTTAAATCATAATGGATAAAACTAGCATTATCTGAGAATTGTTGATGAAATACAGATTGCAATCTTAAGATACAGACTATATATTATGTATGGATATTGAATTATTTACCTTTGTTGTTATCCATTCCTCCGACAGCATACAGAGTTCCAACTGTAGATTTTCTAGGTTTAGTTCTTGGACTTTGCATTAAAGTTCTTCTTTCGGGCAACAGATGGTATTTCATTGCTTCCAAAATGAGCTTTTGGCATTCCAGATCATTCTTAAATAATGTATGATTTTCTAGGTCAGCCAATATCTGAAAAATAGATAATCTTTGTTAATAATGCTTTTTATAGAAATGAGTACATGAGGCCAGTAGTTAAAATTTATAAACTTAAGGCCTATAGTATTATTCCTATATTGAGAGCAATGCAAAATGTAATAAGAATTAGTTGTACAGACAAATGATGATGAGTTGCACAGGCAAAATGCATGGCTTCCAAGAGAAGTAAAATTTATATTAATCTAATTATTATTTACTTTCATTTTGTTCTACAAAGTATAAAGGAACTTCTAAATACCCCCTTTTTTCATTGTCCTTTTTATGAAAGCTGTTTATAAATCCGTGTATTGCTTATGTTAGCCATAAACATGGCTAATACAAGAAATTAAATAAGGGCCTCCCCTGGTGGTGCAGGCGGTTGAGCACAGCACTTTGAAGCTGTCCACAGCCTCTGCAGCACCAGTTCAATCCTGGCCGGCCGGCAAAGGTCCTACATGGCATGGCAGACTTCTCCTGCCTCGCCCGCTATTCCCCTCAGCAGTATATTTCGTCAGTCTGCCTGTTCTGTTCCCTGCTCTGTCTCTGGTGAATCTTCTCACCTTCCCGTGCATCTGGCCTGTACCCCGGCTCTTGTATAAATAAAATAAATCTTTAAAAATAATAATTAATTAATTTTAAAAAAGAAATTAAATAATAACCATCAACAACTTAGGTCATAACAAATCTATCATAAATTGTCACATACTTACTTTAAAGTGGTTCAGGTACAGGTAAAATTCCTTTCAAATTAAAAATAAAATTAAATAGAAGTGGAAACAATCATCCTTATAACATTTATTTAAGCACTCAAGCAGTTGAACATATAGCAGGCAAGGGAATAGTTTCTATTAGTTAAAATAAGAAATTTAATACAAATATTCATCATGTAAGGCAACTGTGGGGGCAAGATGGGCACAGAGCAGGTTTTCTGATCCAGCAGACGGGTAAAGGAGAGACTTGGAGCCCTCGGTGGCTTTCTCAGGCTTTTACTGAGCCTTACATTTAGTGTGGCAAACAGGTGCACAGGAGGCAGGGGTCCCAGGGGGCCAGGAGGCCTGTAGGCCTCCAAGCCCCTAGCAAGTCTTCTCTCTGGGCTTTTCTGGCTTCTTTCTCCCCTTCTCTCTCCTGCCTTTTCTGCTTCTCCTTCTGCTTCTCTTGGTGACCATCTCAATACTCCTCCCATGGCCCACAGAAGTAAACAAGACAGCTTACAACAATGCAACAACTGCAGGTGCCCCATCAGGAAGGGCAATCCTAATGGTGGGAGGGCAGAAAAGCCTGAAAAACCATTTACCTTACAGCAACACAGAGTGAGACCAGACTTATTAAATTGTATTATACTTCTCTATTGCTGCAACAGGTTTTCATCTTCACAAATTCTTCTGTGTTCATTCTTTAAACACATCTAGGCTTTTTTCTTTTCCTCTGTTCATTTACAGATCTCTTTTTTCCTAGATTCTTTCAGCATAACACTGTTTTTAAATGAAACAGACTCATGTGTATATAAAATGATTACCTAAAAATTAGATTTTGCTTTTAAACATATGATGTACCAATAGTTTCCCCAATGGGGGATAATCATAGAATAATTCCTTTTACCAAAAAATATATGATTGGAAGTTTCTCAATATCTTCACTGTCAGTATGCTTTTACACTTAAAATAATCATCAAATTCATCCTTATAAACTATTATTTATTAAACATAAAGGAAATATTCTGTTGTGTGATTTTTTTTAATATAGAAGATATATCAGAAATAAAAATAACCTGAGATTCAATATGAAGGACAGCATGGAATATGTTAACAATTATTATATACAATTCTATGGGATTGATCCTTTGATCCTTATCAGCTAGGCAGTCACTATGCAAATATACCTTATCTCCCTATTACCTTGGTAGATTTTTCTCTGTGACAAGTTGGTATCGAGCAAATTATATATTGAATAGTAAAGTTATATCTGCAAAATGTAACATAGTCACAACATATGTAAGAGAACCTTGTATATATTATTTAGAACTGATATGAAAAATCAGAATTCTTTAGAAGTACTAAAACACTTATTTTCATTTTACATCTTTTAAAGTTTCATTAGCTTTATTACTAGTTTCACTTTGATTAGAAAAAGAAAATTAAGGGCAATTATTAAAGCAATGCATTTATTATATAAAATAAATTGATTGTTAGTGACTTTTAAATTGAACCAATGCTAAAAATATTTAGCAACATAAAATATTGATGAATATCTTAATCACGTATGCTTACATATAGACACACCTCAATTACAGTTTATTAGGAATACTTATATGAATTTACATCAAATTTTTGCAGTAAGTGGAAATTATGGCCCTGAAAGTATTGCTTCATTGAAATGCAATGTCATTTAAGCATTAGATTCTGCATTGCTTTTCTAATCACCAAATTAGAAAAAAGAGAATAAATTTTCATATCAATCCAAAGAATTTTCTTTGTAATTTATCTCATGTGCCAATGAAAATAACATTTTTTGCTCACAAATATTTTTTTATTTTTGTATTTATTTTTTAAATTGTATTTTTATTACAGTATCATTGATTTGCAACAGATATATGTAATCACACCACACCTACAACCAAAGCACCAAAACAGTCCTCCCTTTGCTCTCTACATCCCATACTCCCCTTCTTGTAACCTCAATTTTTCAGTCAGATTTCTTGGATTTGTTCTGTCTATTTCTTTGTTTAATTTTCACATATGAGTAAAATCACCTGGTATTTGTCTTTCTCCTTCTGACCTGCTCCATTTAGCATAATCCTCTCCAATTTTACCCTTGTGATCACAAAGGACAAGAGTTCATTTTTTTTTTTTTTTTAAATACTGAGTAGTGTGCCATTGTGTATATATACCACATCTTTTCAATACACTCTTCTTTCCTTGGGCACTTCAACTTAACTTGGCTATTGTCAGGTTTCTCTGCACTAACTTGCATGTATAGATACTGTCCTAACATTGTAACTCTTTCTCTTAGGCAAACAAATAAAATCAGATGCATAGATTTACTTGTATTCAGACCTACTCTTACTTCAAAGAGAGGATGCAACTCTAATTTTACAGTTGAAGTCAGAAAATATTTACATTATATAAATTTGTATTATAGTCTTCTTAAAAGATAAAGTAATGCTATTATAAAAATTATATCAGCATTATCCTCTACTGTTAGTGGCTACTCCTTAAGTAAGAATATTACTGCACGTAAGAAGACATACTCTGAAAGGTAAGGTAAGGGATAAAATCAGTACAAAGCATAGTAAATACATCCATCTAGGTCTATTATCTGGTTAGACAGTCCATTGGAAAGTGACATGCAATATTAGATACTTAAAAAGATAAATTTAAACTTACAATGGACAAAAGAAAGTATGAGCTCTCTAACTCTTTATCCTTGGGCTATCAAGGTTATGAAAACATTCTCACATTCATAACAGTGACAAAATTTCATATACCTCATATTACTTCATAATATTTCAAACTTCTGTTTTGCTACTGGGTATTGTGTTACAAAAAAAAAAAATCAACCCACCGAATTTGAATCTATAAAATAAAATTGATTCCTATTAGAAATGATAACCTTTAGAGAACATGTGACAGTTTCATACATAGTCTTTCAAGTGTTCTACTTGAAAAAATGAATAAGATAAATGAAAAAATATTATCTTACGTAAGGTGTGGGAAAAATTACTTTCTAGTTCAATGTCTTATAAATAGGTCTGATACAAATAAATATTTCCCAATGCTTTTACCAAGCAGTTTCTAAGACATTCCACAGGAAAACAATAATTCAAAGGTACCCTCTGTGCTAAATAAATCCAGAGCCTATTTAATAGGATAAGGTACTGGTGAAAGAAGAGAGTTCAATTTTCACAGAACTTGGTAGCAACACAACAGATGATGAGCTGATAGGGCTGTCCAATTTCTCAATGGAAAACATACACTATGTCAGGTCTAGAGATGTTTTCTTCATGTTTTCTCTGTTACAGATAAATTTTTCAAAGCAGAGAGGGGAAAATGGACAATTACGCTAAAAACTTGACACTATTATTTAGTTGGTTCACCAGTACTTACAGAATTTCATCATTATTTGTGTATCTGCTACAACTAAAACAGCCTAAATGTGTGTTAGATAAATAATCTCAACTGTATCAGTTGATATCAGTGTGCATCCTGAAAACAGCTTATTGATATGAGTAGATACATACTCAGATGATATTTATAGTCACGTTAGCATCAGTTGAAAAATATTTTAGCGAGTTAGAATCTTGAAATTTTAGACAACTACAATATCTTTCAGTCCTTTCTACTGTCATAACCACCATTTTGGCTAAGCTATTTGAGTTTATTATATTATTTTTAAATAAATAAGAAAAGTTAATAGTTTTTTGTTACATCTAAGCCCTCATTTCAAAAGGAAAAAACCAAATTACTAACATACTAAGCCTTATATCAGATACATCTGAATGATTCCTGCTCAAGTATTTGAGGAAACAAGAAAAAAACAATCTTTGAAATAAGGAGTAGGTTCATTAATTTTATTCTGAATACAGAAATATTTGATCGCCTTAAGATGAAAAATAATTGGTTAAGCTGGCAGAACAAATAGAGAAAAATAATGATATGATCAAAACAAACAGAGCTCAAAAAATTATTCAAGTGGTATTTCTTATTAGCCACAAGTGAAATGGGCTTTATGCTGCTCTAATTTATGATCACACTTTATTTATTTAATTTGTACTTGCTGTTCCACAGGTCATTTGAAAACAAAACTTCTATAACTTAAATAAGGATCTGATGTCATGCATGAACATAGACAGGATCCAAAATAAGATTCATTGCATCCTAAGTAAGCTCTGGATATCTAGTGCATGCATGAATTCATTCATTTTGTTCCTTTATGTAACACATGAGTGAAATCTTACAGTGTTTATCTTTTTTTCCATCTGACATTTCACTAAGCCA